GGCTCAAATCTGATATTGTTTTACCTTTTATTTGGTGTGTGGAAGGTGTGCGGAAGAGGGGGTAGTCTTATACGGCGAGTATATAACAAACTGTATTTTGAGTGGAAATGTTAGGGGGTCGTCTTATACGCCCAGTCGTCTTATACGCCGGCAAATACGGTACTAGGCCATTTAAGCTCTAAACCCAGAGGGTAAGAGTTATAAGATAGATTTTAGGCACCAGAGTATCTAACCTGCCAAACCAGACGCCAGGCCCATTTCATTTATTCTGTCCACTTTCCTTGGTTCTTCTAAAGCTGCAAGAAGAGCCCTCATGTAGTCCTTTTTGCTTGTTTGTTTTTTGTTGTCTGTATGCCTAGGATACAGAGGCAGAGTAGAATTGTAGCTAAGAGCAAAAGCTTTGAATTCTGAGAGACTTGGATCTGAACTCCCCACTTCTCTGTCCTTTGTGAGTGATTGTAAGCAGACTCTTCCGCCTGTTCTTCGTCTGTAAAACTGAATAAACATCTGCCTCAAGAGGGTCATTGTAAGAACTGAAGGAGAGAATAGAGTTGTGAGCACGGTGCCTAAAATAGGAAGTGCACAATAAGTATAGTACATCATTGTGACTGAATTATTATTTTGACAACCACAAAGCCAGTTAACGGGACAAGCTTGCATGCGAAGGCTTCTGTGGTACCGAGGTAAGTGTAGATATGGCAAACCAGAGGAGATCTGGCCCAACAGCAATGCTCCAGGAAAGAGTAAAAGCTTCAGCTGACAAACAAGCTCAAAATGGAACAACACAGGAAGAGGCTGTTAATGAAATGTAAGGCCCATTCATTGAGTGTCCAAAATAAAGGAGAAAATGGCTCTACTATGTGCTGTTCACATCTTATCCATCTTTAATAATAAAAGAATAATATGCTAATTAGACTGGACCGCCAAACAACCTTCCAGACGTCATTCTAGATGTAGTTCCTGAGGAAACCATGGCAGCAGGGGCCGAGGCCGAGGCGGTTAGGGGCGATCAGGCAGGCAGGCAAGCAGTTAGGGGAGATCAGGCAGGCAGGTGAGTGGTTAGGGGCGATCAGACAGGCAGGTGAGCAGTTGGAGGTGATTAGGCAGGCAGAGTGGTTAGGGGCGATTGGACAGGCAGGCAGAGTGGTTAGGGGCGATTAGGCAGGCAGGTAGGTGAGCAGTTAGGATCCAGCAGTCCCAAATTGCAAGAGGGTGCAGGCCAGGCTGAGGGACACCCCCACCCACCACCACCACCCTTGCATGAATTTCGTGCACCAGGCCTCTAGTGGTATAATGTCTAGTTCTGAATGTACTGATTCTACCGGGCCTTCCTAAATCGGGTTTTATTTGAAGAGTAGTGATTAGGATGGGAAGGATCTAGAGATGCCCTGGGAGGAATAATAGAAGGAACTGAAAAAAAAAAAAAAAAAGATTAACCAGAACCAAGATGGCTTCCTTCACATACTTGTCCCATGAAAGATGGGAGTTAACATTCGTATAGCTCATGGGGCGAGGGTTGGAGGGTCAGCTTTTCTGGTCAGATCTGGAATGAGCTGCCTGGAGCCCTCCTCTTGAGGCAGCCCCTGAATGGGAGTCACCGAGCCCAGTTGGAGAGCCGCCAACTTGGAGCAAGAAGAGAAGGGGGAGGACAATTGCCATACTCTGTCGACAAGAGAGCAGCTTCCACAAAATCAGACTGGCATTTTCACTGGGGACTTTTTTAAAGCCGTTTTGAAACTCTAATCCTTTTGGAAGCCTCACCCAGTCCTATGCAGCACTAATATCTTTCCCGGCCTGCTCTGACCGCTGCCTGACACAGTGTCTGCGCTCGCACACTGGCAGTCACGGTGCCATTCACGTGAAGATTGCCGGTCGAGATCTGAGGCTAATCTCTCTTTCCCAGCCCATGCACACTGGTTCGCATCCCCTGAGCATGGGTGCATGCACATCTGCTGGACCCCTAGCACTGAGGTAACTGCATTGACCACAATTACCATGAGACTCTCATGTGATCTTTAAACTAGAGCTGTTTAATAAAAATTGCCCTAGATATGTAACATGTACGCTTTAAAAAAAATTGAATCAATTGAACTTTTTCTCCTAATTAAATCCATTGAGTCTGCTTATTTATATCAACACTGTCCAGGCCTTAATCCCAAATCCAATAAAGGCAGTTTGGTCTGGTTATTATATCAGAAAGACCTGCCCGGTCCACGTGGTTCAGTGGCTGAGCGTTGACCTATGAACCAGGAGGTCCAAGGTTTGATTCCTGGTCAGGGCACATGCTGGGGTTGTGGGCTCGATCCCCGCTGGGGGTGGGGGAGGGGGGTAGGGGAGGGCGTGCAGGAGGCAGCCAGTCAATGATTCTCTCTCATCATTGATGTTTCTATCTCTCTCTCCCTTCCTCTCTGAAATCAATAAAATTTTTTAAAAAGAAAAATTAAAGAGAAGGAAAGACCTTCTTACATGATAAAGAAAGACAATAGGATTAAGGAAATGAGAGCAGGAGAAAGGACAATCGGGGACATATTAGTCTCTCTCTTCCTCCCTCTCTGAAATCAATAAAATGTTTTAAAAAGAAAAATAAAAGAGAAGGAAAGACCTACTCACATGATAAAGAAAGACAATAGGATCAAGGAAATGAGAGCAGGAGAAAGGACAATCGGTGACATATTAATGGCTACTGTTAAAAACAAAAATAAAAATCTCAGTGGTTTAACACAATGTAAGTTTACTTCTCACTCCAAGTTCAATGCTGTGGATCTTTGTGACTGGTGTGTGGGCATTCCTCTCATGACTTGGCCTCAGGGTCCTCTTGATTCTTAAGCAGAAGTGAATTACCATGTTTTCAAATGCACCAAAAAAAAAAATGTTTATCACTTTAATCATAAGGCTCAATTTAAAACATTATTTTTAAAACACTGTATTGCAACTAATGAAATAAAATGTATTTGAGGCAGCTCAGCATCTATAATAATAAAAGTGTAATATGCAAATTAGACCAGATAGCCAAACGACTTTCCGAACATCATTCCAGACGAAGCTGTGGTGGTGGGGCTGAGGCAGAGGCGGTTAGGGGTGATCAGGCAGGCAGGTGAGCAGTTGGGGCAATCAGGCAGGCAGAGTGGTTAGGGGCAATCAGGGACTGCCCCCACCCCTGCACAAATTTCATGCACCGGGCCTCTAGTTATTATATAAATGTTTCCATTACAGGCTTTTCAAAAAAAATCTTTTTCACATTCTTACCCCAAAAAAGAATTTTAAACCAGCTAGACACATTCCCACTGAACCACAGAATAATTGGAATTCTGACAGGAAGATAACCATAAAGCAAATCTTTAAAGAAAAGAGCACCATTTTGCTTTATTTAAACTCCACAAAGCAGGTGAGCGTTTTATGGGTCAAGAGTTTCTATGGAGAGTTATGCAATGGCTCAGCTTAGAATAGGTCTCTCCTTTGTTCCGCTTGCACACCATGCGCATGTCATTTGGTGACATCTGCAAAGGAAAGGTTATTCTACATCATGGATCAGAGAAAGCTTTGATGAATCATAAAGTTAACGCCTTGGGTTCCTCGCAGGAGAGACTTTGCAGCGGCTGTGTTGAAAGGCGAGTGGCTGTGTTATAACTTGCTCCTGGCAGAACCTTCCACCCCGGCTGGCTTTTTGCAGGAAGGACCAAGCACCAGGCCAACTTTGATTAGAGAGCTTTTAAACAGCACAGAGGAGACAAAGACATGTTCAGCCCACAGAAAAGAGTATGGCCTTACCGACGAGTGCCAGTAAGTTCACATGCTCTAGGAAGTATGGGGATTGTTCCAGCAAACGTTTCCTGGTGAGGAAATCTACCTCAGGCTTGTGTCCCTCATGAGCTGCCGTATACCAATGAGTGGTCCATGCCACTGAGGTATGTCTGCTAAGATACATTTTGCCGCAGGAAATAAAAATTGCCTGGCTGGCGTAGCTTAGTGGTTGAGCAGCGACCTATGAACCGGGGGCCACAATTCGATTCCCGGTCAGGGCACATGCCCGGGTTGTGGGCTCGACCCCCGGTGTGGGTTGTGCAGGAGGCAGCCAATCAATGGTTCTCTTTCATCACTGATGTTTCTATCTCTCTCTCCCTCTCTGAAATCAATAAAAATATATTCTTTTAAAAGAAAAATATTTGCATTAGAAAATGTGGTGTATACCTGATTTCAAATTGTACTCCAGAGCTATGATAATCACAAGGTTCTGACAAGAACCATGGAAAGACCCTCCATGATCTTTTCAGTTGGCTTCCTGAAGGTGTATACAACGTTTGTCCCAAGCCTGGCAAATAGGAAGTTGCTGTCATCACCATCATGATTGTCCTCATCAGTGCATTCGACAAGAGGGGAGCACGGGGGTGTCTAGACATGGGAGTGGCTGAGCAGAGGTGCTCTTTTAGGAAGATCTGTCCAGGTCCAGAATGCAGTCTGGGATGCTGAGGGTAACACTGCCAAACAGGGGCATAAAAAAGGATGCTTTGGAACAGATGGGCGCTCTTTTTGTTTGTTCGATAATTTCTTTCTTTTATTCCTTCCTTATTCAACTTATTGGGGTGACAACAGAGCGAGGAGGTAGGCAGTCAGGAAAGGCCTAAAACGAGTCTTGACGATGAATTAGGAGTTAGCCAGGGCAGTGGGAAGGGAAAGGAATGCAAGGCTAAAAGTATCCCGGGGAAGGCGAGTGCAGCCTCCGCTAGGAAGCTGGGTAGTGTGGCGGGGATGTAGGGTGAGGGAGAGATGGGCCTGTGGAGACTGGCCAGGAGGCCCCTCCCAGCAAGGGCCTGTCCCTGCTGGAAGCCTCACCTCGTACCCTGCAGGTGGCAGGAGACGCCAAGCGGGCCGGTGGCAGGCTCAGAATGGCTTGAGGGGAAGATCACTCTGGAAACTGACAGGGGGCAAGGCTTTGGAGAGACCCAAAAATCAGTGACTAGGGGTGTTGGTGGTTAACTTAATGTGCCAACGTGTCTGCCCAGATATGTGGTTAAACATTATCTTGGGTGTGTGTCTGTGAGGGTGTTTCTGAATGAGATGAGCATTGGAGTCAGTAGGCTGAGTAAAGCAGCCTTCAATCCACGGAAGGCCTGGCTGGAATAAAAGGCTGGAAGGCTTCCCTCTCTGCCCATCTTTGAGCTGGGGCATGGGTCTTCTCTTGCCTTTGGACTGGGACTGGGACAGGAACTTATGTCATTGGCTCTCCTGGTGCTTACGCCTTGGGACTCGAACTGGAGCTATACCCCCAACTCTCCTGGGTCTTGACTTCTCAGTCTATACAGGCACGTGAGCCAATTCCTCGTAATAAATATGTTCATACATATGCACACACCCTCTTGGTTCTGATTTCTTGGAGAACCCTGACTAATAAACTGGGATAACCTATAACCCTGTAGTCCTCACTGGTCTGCTTCTAGGCTTCCCTCCTTTCCACTTACCCTTGATATTTCTAGCCAAGTTCTCTTTCTAACATACACCGAGTGGCCAGATTATTATGACCGGCCAGATTATTATGACCACCCCATCAGAACTTCATTGACACTTCCAAAAATACTGAATATTGAAAACTTCCTAAGCAAATATTCTCAAGGTTTTATTATTATTACTATTGGCATAACTAATTCACTTCATTGTACTGATGGGGTGGTCATAATAATCTGGCCGGTCATAATAATCTGGCCATTCAGTGTATATCTAGCAGGCCAGGTCCTCCCTTGATATTCTCCTCCAGTTCCCAGATACCTGTAATTCCTAATTCGTGGCCTGGAATAGGACAACTCTTCCCCCTTCCCATGCCCCTCTCCTGGGAGGTGAGTGGGGTTGAGACGGAGGCCAGCAGATGTGCTGAGAATAGGGCCGAGCCGAATGGCCAGAGGTTTTGCTCTGGTTGACGGCCTGGCTGGCTGCTGGGTGATGTGGAGCCCATCCTTCAGAATCTGCCTCCCTGCCTCTTCCCCATCACCACCCTAAACTCACCGTGGTCTTTCATGCATCGGTGGCATCATCGGGAGTGTCTCTCCCCTTTTCTCTCCCTGGCTGGCTAACTGCTAGTTAGCATCTGAGCTCCAGCTCGAGTGTCACCTCCTTGGTAAATCCATCCCTGATTCCCCAAAGGTTCGGAACCGGAGCCTCATTCCATTTCGCATCTGTCTCCATTGTGGCAGATATTACAGCTCGTTATAGTGACTCATGTGGTGTCTACTTCTACCAATTCACAGAGTGTTTCTCAAGGGTTCAGACCATGAAAGTTTCAGTTTTGGATTCCATGAGCTTAGAGTTTAGGAGGGACTCCAGTCCCTAAGTGTTGAAATGCTAGGCATGGACAGATATGTGAACACATGACACATGAATGGAAGAGACAGAGTGGGCAGGACTGAGGATGTTGACCCCACTTATGACAGCTCATTCTGCTCTTTAAAAAAATTTTGTTGTTGTTGTTGATTTAAAGAGGAAGCGAGTGGGAGAGAGAGAGAGAAAAACATCAGTGATGAGAGAGAAGCAGTGATCAACTGCCTCCTGCACACCTGCCACTGGGGATCAAGCCCGCAACTGAACCATGACCTCCTGGTTCATAGGTCGATGCTCAACCACTGAGCCACACACCGGCCTTTCAATGTCCTGTTAAATGATTTTCTTCATGATTTTCTTTCCCAGGAACATTATACACTGCATTCCAAAAACAGCCAATAATCAACCACGAGATTGTTTCTATATTTTTAAAATTCTTGTTAAATTTTACCCAGTGCCTATTTGGGCTTGAGGAACCTGGGCTGATTTCTGGGACGGCTCTTCTCCCTCCCTAATTATGCTTTTATTTTGTACTGGAGAAATTTCAGGAACTTCTTCTGATGCTTTTCAGACTTTCACTCATAGCATTGTTTAATGTAAAGCTAGCATTTTAGAAAGGACAGAATTTCTGGAAAAATGAGTTATCATTAAATCCTTTTCAGAGTTTTAAAACTCAAGCTCTCTAACTTGTGCCAGAGTGTGGAGAGGCTTTGGAGAGGAATTACACTTGTTAAGAAAAGTTGGAAACTCATGAGATCAAGAAGGGGGCGAACTGATTGTGGCAACTGACTACTGGAGGCCTGGTGAGCCTCAGACCATCAGTCCCATAAGACGAGAGGAGAAAAAGCCCAATATAGGATCCTCAGAATAAAACCACGGCAGGCGCAGCGGAGGTTGGTTTAACTCTTCTTTAAGCAACATGGAGACTGAAAACTGCTTTTAACCTTCCTAGCACATAAAGTAGTTGCCTCACTGTTTTGCTGCTGAGCAGTTGGGGAAATGAGCCTATTCGCTGTGGCCAAAGGCTTCCCATTTATCTTCTGACTCACCTTGCGTCCGAGTCCTAGAAGCTTGGCATGCGGAAGAACATGGAAACGCCACTCCCTCGTTTCTAGGTTAGCCCTGTCCCTACAAAGTCGGGCTGCTTCGGGGTGAGTTTTGTGTGACGGTTCAATTCCAAGTATATCTTCTAGGGCCCTTGATGACATTTGGGGTAAGGAATGATTTTTCATCTTTAACGTTTTGTGATTTTTTTTTTTAATTTTTACTTTCTGTTAATCCTCACCTGAGGATATTTTTCCGTTGACTTTCAGGGAGAGTGGGAGAGAGAGGGAAGACAGAGGAAACATCGATTGGTTGTCTCCTGCACGAGCCCAGACCAGGGCCTGGGCCGAGGAGGAGCCTGCAACTGAGGTACTTGCCCTTGATTGGAATCAAACCTGGGACCCTTTGGTCTGCAGGCCGATGCTCTATCCACTGAGCCAAACTGGCAGGGGCTCATTTTTAACTTTTTAAGAGATGTAGACACAATGTTATACATTAACAACAGCAACACCCACGGACACATTCCCCTTCTTGCTCTGCACTGTGAGCCAATGTACATACATACCAGCACTGAGACTCTGGACAAGTAATTAATATTCCTGAGCTTCACTGTCCTCATCTGTAAAATAGGAGCAATATCGGCCACACTGGATTCTGCAGGAGACAAATGAGTGAATATATGAATAAATATATAGCTTAGTGCAATGTCTAATACATACTCATTGTTCCGTAAACAGTAGCTGTTGTGGTGGTGGTCAAAGTTGACCATATTATTAATGATCTGATGGGAAGAACATTGGCCTGGAAATCAAAAAATTGAATTTTTAAAAAAGTTAATGACATAACCTGTCAGTACACCTATTTTACTTCCTTAATGTATTTTGAGCTATCTTAAAATGAGGAGTTTGGTGCAGATCACTTTCCACTTTAGGATTTACGTCTCTGACTAAACTGAGCAGTAGAGGGAAGTGCTCCCAGCCTCAACCCTGAAGTCCCGGCCCCTTTCCTGAAATATTCCTCAAACACAAATGACTCTCTCTCTCTCTCTCTCTCTCTCTCTCTCTCTCTCTCTCTCTCTCTCTCTCTCCCTCTTGGCCGGCTCTGTGTGGGCCCAGAACAGCTCTGCAGAACTGAAGAGGAAAAAGACTTTTGTGGGTAATGATTTTCAAATCCAGGGACATAATGTCTCCAAACCTATTTTTAGTGCTAGTGGGTACAAAGGTAACATGTAGACTGATCTCCAAGAGATACTGTTCCATTGTGAGTGAGAACTGGAAGATCAATGCCTAGTCCCATCTGGAGGGGAAGTTAACCATTTTAACTTGGAAACAAAGACGTTTTTACCTGGGGAAATAAAATTTTCCAGACTAATGCCAGTTAATCACAGGCCGCCGTAACAGCACAATAATTACCCCTTGCATGTGTATGGCTTGCTGCCTCTACAACGCCCTTTGTTGTACCTTGTGCCCTGTCACCCCTACCACCATGTATAGGCCTGCAGGGCAGCCGCGAACATTCCTATTGCCGAAATAAGGAAGCTGATATCCACGGAGGTGGTGTGACTCGCCTCAGTCGACACGGCTCATGAGGGCATGTGCCAGGCCAGAGAGCACGGTGCCTGACTGGCATGGTGGAGCACCTAGAAACCTCCTTACATCTGAGCAGGTAACTCTGTCTTTCCCCCACTGCTTCCTTTGGGGATCTGGCAAAACATTTCAGGATCTCCATCAGATAATTAAATGGAGAAAAGTTCTCAAAGAAGGATGTTCCAGGTCAGCTTCTAAGCATGCCTGCCAGGTAAGGGTAAGGGTAAGGTTAAGTGGTGGTGGTGGTGGTGGTGGGGAGGCTCTACGCTCATTCTCTATCAGGAGATCCTATTCATTCATCATTCTTGTCAATAAACACGTTGAAAAGGGCTGTAACACTATAAATTCCAGTATGCACAAAAATTGCCCAGGAGGGTCACACTTAACTCAAAAGTACAGTCATGTAGGAAACTTTTATAGGGAAATTTCTCTGCTTGGTATAAAGGAAAACCAAAGCATTTTATTAGCGGAATCGATTAAACACAGCAAGAACACAATCGGGTTCATAAATCAGGAGGAAGCTCATGCTTGGCCTGTTCATAGCTTTGCTTAGTCAGTGCTTCTGATGGCAGATAACGGCACAGGACGTGCCTTTCTCAGATTTTCCCTGTTTGGGCTTGAATGAGAAAGGAGCTCCTGGTGGCTTCTCGCTTGCACATTCCTGCACATGCCCTCTTCATCCAGGACCGTGAGGCGGAGAATGTGAGCTAAGAGGTCCTGGGGGCGTTAGGTGGGCTTGCCCATCACACACAGGAGATTTGTCAACGGGTGGTCTTTGGTCCCAGGTCAATGTCAGCGGGAGTGCCCAGTTTGGGGTGCAGTGAAGAGGGAACCTTTATTCAGTGCAAACAGTTTCAACTGTGATCCAGCGTGGCTGTGGAACGGCTCAGGGATGACGGCTCCATTATGGAGCTGCGCAGCTTGGCTGTGAGGCAGCCCTGGGGCCAGGTGGCTAGGGGCCAGGTCACTCTGGTTTGACAGCTCTGCTCTGGTGAGAGGGTCCAATGGCAGAGTGCAGGCTTCTCCCTGAAGTGCAGTTTGCAGGAGACGCCCCTGTTTAGACATGGCCGCTAGGCTCTGCTTTTCAATTTGGGCCCAGCTGGCCCAGCTGGCCCAGCTGGCCCGGCTGGCCCGGCTCAGTGACCTATGAACCAGGAGGTCATGGTCAGGGCACACATCCGGGCTATGGCTTAAACCCCAGTGGGAGACGTGCAGGAGGCAGCCTATCAGTGACTCTCATCATTGATGTTTCTCTCTCTCTCTCTCTCTCTCTCTCTCTCCCTGCTCTGAAATCAATACAAATATTTACAAAAAGGAAAATAAAATTTGAGCCCAGTTAGCTACTAGGAGCCCTTTTCTGTAGGTATCTCCTTTCTCAAGGTCCAGAGATTGCAGAGAAGCAAAGCTGATGTCGAGCCTTTGCGAGGCTGGACTAGATGACTCTAAAGGGCCTTCTAGCTGGAAGGTTGGAGACCACTCCTTCCCCTGTTGGAATCAGCCAACCGAGAGTGTCTGTCCTGCCCTTGGGCTTTCAGCAGGCACTGTACTAGTCCCCCAGATAGAGGAGTAGAAGAAGGAACCCTCAGGGACCGCACCCTACTTCCTCCTCACTTTGCCATGAGCAGGTCCACAGCCTTGGTCGCCTGCTGGGAGAGAGCATGTCGGTTTGAGTACCACTTCCCAGCTTTGGGAGGCATAGCGGGCAGCGAGGTTTGGGGATGGAGGAATCCCCCCAAGCCTGGCCTGCCAAGGTGGCCACATGTGAGGACCCCTTGCCGGGCCAGGTGCAGAAGGGTCCCAGAGGTGCCCAGAGATAAGGCTCTATCAACCCATTTCACCAGCTTCCCAAAGGTTGGGGCCATTTTATTAAAGCCCTGGCACTGGCTTTTCTTTTTTCCAATCTGTCAATTTTTTGCAAAGCCTGGCTCATCAAAATCCAAAAGCATCCAAATAAAAAGCCTACAGACAAGTTGTGAATGCACCTCCATTGACCCCTGGCAGCTTTAAAGAGAATAATGATGTCCGCTTAGCCAAGGAACAGCTTCTCACAGAAGCAGCCCTTGTCTGTTTAACGCTCTCTCCCCAGCCTCGCGAAGTAGGTGCTATTACTATTCCCCCTTCACAGTGGAGGAAACAGATTCAGTATCACGGGGTAATTAATTTCACTAAAAGGTGGTGACAAATTCCTACCTTTACCCACTAAGTGACATTTCTTCTGGATGGACTAACACAGGCGATTTTTCAACCCTTTTCACCTCGTGGCATGCACGCACTAATTACTAACATTCTTGCAGCATGCCAGTTGAACATCACTGGACTAGAAGGCCCAGAGCTTCTAGCTAAAGAACTGGCTCATCAGGGGGACTACCTTATTCAGTTCCTCTCTGATCTGACCTGCACCCCACTGTCTAAATACAGCTGCTCTCAGAGACCTGAGGAAATACAGAGACAAAACTTGGAAAAGAAAGTTAGAGTCATGCATGTGATGGGGCTCAGTATCAAAGTATGTGTGTGTGTGTGTGCGCACAGGCACGCATGTAAGCCGCCGTGTCATGGACTCGCCTCTGTGAACACGCAGGAGAGAGAGGGACCTCTATGTGCTCCAGGGAGTGCTGCCCAGCACAGCCTGGGCCTGGCAGCGCCTCATCCCCTTACACACAGCGTCTCCGGTTAGTCCGGCGGCCCACGCCCTGCTCTCTGCCTCCCAGCTCGCCTTCCTCCCTCCTGCCTGCTGCCCTCACTGAGGGTCGGTGCCCGGTGGCCAGTTGGGCTTGCACTTCCACAAGCCGAATCGCACTTCCCCTCTCCTCCTCTGGTCCTTGTAGCACCTGCTGTGGTTGCTCTCTGCCAGCTTCTTCAGGGCAAGTGTGACCCGAGGACAGCCCGGACCAGGGCTGCTGCCTGACGCCGCCGTGGAGCCAGCGGCCAGCTGGCCCCCGAGATGGTACCCAAATAGCAGTGCTAGCCTCTAAGGCACGCTGTGAACCCCAGCTCTGCCAGTTGGCTGGTACTTCACTTCCTTGTACTCAGCTGTGTTATCTGTATGATGGGTACAACAATCCCTTCCTCAGAGAGTTGGGAGTGTTTAATGATATAATGGTCTGAAGCACTTAGTATGTGACAGCAATTGAAAAATTGTAGCTTTTAATAGTATTATCATTATTATGGGTCTTGTTCCTCATGTAACATGGGTCTTGTTCCTCATGTAACATGGGTCTCCCCTCGTATTCACTCCCCAACCCAGCATTTACATGAAAAGAAACATTATCTCACTGACCTTTACAAACAGGTGTGACTAACCCAATTTACAAGGAAGCAAAGTTATAGACAGGTTATATAACGTTCCCAAGGTCACACTGTTTGGACAAAGAACAAGTGGGATTAATTAGTTCCGTCTCTGACTCCTTCAGGAAACATTTACTGGGTGCTTCGAATGCCATGAACTTAGCTAAGGGCTGAAAAGACCAAGGTGATCCGACACAGGACTGGGGGTGGGGGTTTACAGTCAAATGGGGAAAGAGGCAGGTGAATGGGTAATTATGGAATACTGTGATAAAGGAATTCAAATAGGCAGCCAGGTGGCAGGACTCCTGTGTTGTGTGGCGACTCCTTCACCACAGAGCTAAACACAATGGGGCTAGAGTGTGTCCCGCTGTCCGGCACTATCGGGCCCCCTGGAGGAGAAAGGGGCCAGTATAGGAGACCAGCAGCCAGCTGTCAGAGACAGCTTTCAGGGGAAGGGACGTAGGGAGAGATGGGAGGAGAGGTCTCTAGGTGGTGGGACAAATGCCTGCAGGAGGCTGAAGGCCAGAGGATTCTAGTGGGAGGGATGCTGATGAGGAGGGTGGGGCCAGGTCAGGAAGAGCCTGCAGTGCCAGACTGAGGAGTTCTTCCTTTGTTTATATATCTTGATTGATTTCTGAGAAGAAGGGAGAGGGAGAGAGAGATAGAAACAAAAATGATGAGAATCATTGATCGACTGCCTTCTGTGCGCCCCACACTGGGGATCGAGCCTGCAACCCGGGCATGTGCCCTGACTGGGAAGTGAACCATGACCTCCTGGTTCAT